TTGGCACATATTCAGGAATGCCTTTTCTTTTCCCCAGACTTCCTAACGCTCCACCCTTTTCTTTTCCACACTGCACCCAATCACTGCTCCAACCACACAAAACAGAATTTGATCTAAAACAGGGAGCACCAATCTCTGACGCAAGACGATGCAATACCCCCCGCCCTTTGCAAAGCCCAGGCCCTGGAAGGAGAGACCTCAAAGTCCTGGGAAATGCACTCATTTCCTTCAGGTTGCAAACACAAGCAAATCTCACTTGGTTCATAATTTCGGAGTTGTGCTTTGCCAGAACCATGGGCATCGAGTCAGGAAGGCTCGTGAATTTGATGGTGTCCGGGTGTTGCCGATACTTCTTCTCGCTCAGGATGAGGCTCGCCCTCTTGTTCTTCTCATCGTCCAGCGAACCACTTGGGGACCAGCCAATGCCCCTCAGCCACAGAAGGTCGGACTTGTACACATTCTGAAAGGACAGGCAGGGACACAAAGCACCTCAGCAACCGCCTTATCCCATGCCAACGCTCCTCCTGCCAAATGAAGCTCTGCCTATCAAAACACAGTCCCCTGGGTCAACCCCCCAGCCACCACGAAGGGACTCCTCATCACCTAACGCTCTTCATACCATTCACCACTGCACACATGGCTTGCCTTTGCCCACTCTCGGTCCTCCAAAAGAAAATATTTGACTCCATTGCCCCTCCCCTGCCATTCACAACTCCAGCCACCTGCAGCAACACTCCCCCCAAGGTGCTCAAGGCAAGACAGGACTTTTCTGTCACCATAAAGTACGACCCCACACAAACTTCATCCCCGCCCATTCATGACATCAACTCTCAGCCAGATAGGATGGCCACAACAGAGTCTCAGTCTCACAGAATCAGCCTAGGCTTATTTATGCTCCCCACCTGGACCTTCTCCAACAAAGGAACAGAACACAAGGCAGACTTCTGCTTGTCACACTCCCACTAAAGGATAACTTACATCACTCTGAAGGTCATACACTTTCCTGGCTTGCACAACATCGTTCTGGTCCGGCAGGCAGGTCCACCGATGCAGAAAGTGCTTGTAATCAATGTCGCTGACCAGCTCCTGGCATTTCTTGGCCAACACGACTCCCAGCATGTCCACTGGGCTACTGAAGTGGGTCTTTGTCTTCTCAAAGGCCTTCTTGTACTCCCTGTCACTCTGGATCTTGGCTACGTGCATCGACCACACCATCTTCGGATCATCCTCTATGTTACGCGCCCCTATGTGGTGCCCAAGCTGCTTGCGGTAGCCTTCTTTGTATTTGTACTGCAGGGTGAAGGAAGCTCAGTAAGTTTCAGACCAGCTCTTCTCCCTTCGGACATTAGTTTCTAGCAGCACCTCTGAACAGGCACTTTGCTCGTGGAGCCTGGTGAGATCACCGTGTGAAGAGGCGCCTAAGCGCAGTTTATCCCTACCGGGTCCTACTCTGCCATCCCACCCCACACCTACGCTGGGCCACAGGAGGCACATGGAGGCCCAGGCGGCAACTCCAACCAAGCGAGCTCGGGAACCAGCAGCAATGCAGGCCAGCAGACAGGGTCTCCACACAACCTAAGCATCCCCACAGAGAGGCCAGCTCAGCACCTGGGATGCAAAACTCAGGGAAAACCATGGACAGCTCCAGCAGGCAACCTGGCCCTCACCCTGCGCAGCCCTGACTGCACTCACTCACAGCCCACAGCAGCTGACGCACTCCACTGCACCAGGCTCTCCTGCACTGGGCTCGGAAGCCTTATTCACCCAGCCCCGTGTGGGTCCTCAGCTGCAGACCTGCAGCCGCTAAGCTTGGGAAGGGACAGGAGCCAACACAAAACTTTTTCCTTTGCCTCGTAGTGAAATTTCAAGTAAGACTGAGGAGAGATTGAACTCATCTCGCTACAGTAATGGAACAAGCCTGAACTACAAAACCTCGCATCAGAGAATAAATTCAGGTCCTGCAGAGCTAAGCCCTGAAAAGATACTCCGGGGCACAGTAATGACTGGCCTAGAGCGACTGGACTTGCCCTCAGTCCAGACAGAAACTGTAAATGCCCCAGTCGTAACACAAAACTTAGTTTGGGTTTTCTTTCCTCATGTCCAGCTCAGCTGGGTACCTGCAACAGCAGGGGCGTGCAGACTGGCAGTACGGACGGCAGCACACCACCTCAAAAGTCCAGTCTGTGGCACGACGAGACGCTGCCACGAGCCCAGGAGGGACATTGCTTTGGATTACGTCCATCACCCAGCTCCCACAGTTACTCTCTCCACACCCTCTACAAATGCCCTCGCAACACCGCACGCCCATAACACCAAGGGACACCTGCAGGCAGACCCTCCAAAACCAACTGTTTACAGACTTGCTGAATTCTAATGAGAGGCAAGAGCTGTGTTGCCTCCATTCCGCTAAGGTTGCAAACTCTGGGCTTCAACTGCAAGCACCTGTAAGCTGTCTGGTTGCGTGTGCCACCAAGGGCTCCTGCGTACTTACATCACTTGCAATGTCTCTGGAAGCTTTAGCAGACTTGATAGGAATGGCATCTGCCCGCATGTCGTAGCCCTTTTTCTTATCTTCCTCCATCGCAAGCTTGTACAGTTTCTGAAAGAACAACAAGCATTCCCCTCAAGCAACACTTCTTCCCGCACCACAGCAGCGTCCAGGGACGCACACTTAACCCCAGCTCCAACACCTACCTCACTGAAGTTCGCTTGGTTCTGCTGGGCTAGCAAAATACCAGGTGTATCCGGCATAATGTGAACGCTGGTTTTATCTTTCTCCCAGGCCGATGTGTACGAGCGCTGAAACAAGGAGTACAGCCTGAGATAAGATCCTGCAAGCACGGGGCAACAAACTCAAAGAGCAAACCAGCTCAACGAACTGAAGCAAGGGGCCTCTACTTTGCACAGATTCAGGAATGCCTTTTCTTTTACCCAAAATGCCTTTTCTTTTCCCCAGACTTCCTAACGCTCCACCCTTTTCTTTTCCACACTGCACCCAATCACTGCTCCAACCACACAAAACAGAATTTGATCTAAAACAGGGAGCACCAATCTCTGACGCAAGACGATGCAATACCCCCCGCCCTTTGCAAAGCCCAGGCCCTGGAAGGAGAGACCTCAAAGTCCTGGGAAATGCACTCATTTCCTTCAGGTTGCAAACACAAGCAAATCTCACTTGGTTCATAATTTCGGAGTTGTGCTTTGCCAGAACCATGGGCATCGAGTCAGGAAGGCTCGTGAATTTGATGGTGTCCGGGTGTTGCCGATACTTCTTCTCGCTCAGGATGAGGCTCGCCCTCTTGTTCTTCTCATCGTCCAGCGAACCACTTGGGGACCAGCCAATGCCCCTCAGCCACAGAAGGTCGGACTTGTACACATTCTGAAAGGACAGGCAGGGACACAAAGCACCTCAGCAACCGCCTTATCCCATGCCAACGCTCCTCCTGCCAAATGAAGCTCTGCCTATCAAAACACAGTCCCCTGGGTCAACCCCCCAGCCACCACGAAGGGACTCCTCATCACCTAACGCTCTTCATACCATTCACCACTGCACACATGGCTTGCCTTTGCCCACTCTCGGTCCTCCAAAAGAAAATATTTGACTCCATTGCCCCTCCCCTGCCATTCACAACTCCAGCCACCTGCAGCAACACTCCCCCCAAGGTGCTCAAGGCAAGACAGGACTTTTCTGTCACCATAAAGTACGACCCCACACAAACTTCATCCCCGCCCATTCATGACATCAACTCTCAGCCAGATAGGATGGCCACAACAGAGTCTCAGTCTCACAGAATCAGCCTAGGCTTATTTATGCTCCCCACCTGGACCTTCTCCAACAAAGGAACAGAACACAAGGCAGACTTCTGCTTGTCACACTCCCACTAAAGGATAACTTACATCACTCTGAAGGTCATACACTTTCCTGGCTTGCACAACATCGTTCTGGTCCGGCAGGCAGGTCCACCGATGCAGAAAGTGCTTGTAATCAATGTCGCTGACCAGCTCCTGGCATTTCTTGGCCAACACGACTCCCAGCATGTCCACTGGGCTACTGAAGTGGGTCTTTGTCTTCTCAAAGGCCTTCTTGTACTCCCTGTCACTCTGGATCTTGGCTACGTGCATCGACCACACCATCTTCGGATCATCCTCTATGTTACGCGCCCCTATGTGGTGCCCAAGCTGCTTGCGGTACGCAGTTTTGTATTGGTACTAATTGAATGCAGAAACATCAATTATCACCTCTTTTCAAGCAAGAATTTTAATTACTCTGTTAATATAGTGGTTAAAACTTTTGTATGTAATGGAGTTTAATTTTTTTTTGCGTATTTTTCCAACATTTTTGGTGTTTATATTGCATGTCCAAAGATACTTGCTAATGTTTCCATAGTTATATACTACCTCACTTTAAATTATTGTATTTGACTGAAATAACTTTACACCATGAAGAATTATACAACCTGTGGGGAGGGCAGCAATATAAGACTGTTAAAATTTTAGACCTCTCCTCCTTTTAAATAAAAACCATCTTTATCCAAAAGCGTGTACCAGCTCTTTGCCCCACTATTATTTTCATTCTGTAAGACTTACTTCACTAGCTATGTCTCTGGATGCCTTTGCTGACTTGAGGGGTATAGCATCAGGAGGAAGATCGTAGCCTTTCCTCTTCAGCTCTTCATATCCTAACTTGTAATGTTTCTGTTAGAGAAGGATTCAAAGTAATTATTGCAAATAAAGCTCTCTAGTGAGTTTTTCAATACTACAACTTTCCTCCCCTGATTGTTGAAAATAAAGTATGAGATTCCACTTTCGAGATCAAAATTTTCTTTTACTTAACACATTAATCTGAATGATTCATAGAGTCTTCTACAGAGGGGAATAGTACAACCCCATGATTCTATACACCCAATTTCAATTGCAATTATTTTTATCTTCTTCAGTTCTTATGATAGAGCTGCTAACGTTTCTTTACCTTTGCATATTTGTTCTATATTTGTTCCATTGCAAGCAGGAATTGGTGTAAATTACATAATCCTTTCTAATTCTAAGAAGGCAATTCAATATAATCAGATATTTTAACAAGAATGACAGGCTTACTAAAAGGTACTGAACACCTATTTACAATGTTAATATGATCAGTAGGGATGAAAAAGAAAACCGCTAACTTGTGTTGAATATTTTCTTAGTATTTTTTATATTCTAGCATCTCCGCTTCCACTTTGTATTTTAGCAATTCCACTTGGGCTTCCCAGTGCATAGCAATTTTCACAGGAAATTGTGTGTGCTTACAGTTGTTAGAATTGCAGAATTATTCTACTGCACTTTAAACTAAAGCCACAATGGGCAATTCTAAATTCCATAAAAGAAACATTGTAGAGACAGACTTACATCACTTGTGTTAATTAAGTTTGATTTAGCCAGCAAAATTTCAGGAGTATCAGGCATGATGTGAACCTGAGTCTTGTCCTTGTCCCAAGCTTCTCTATACAGTATCTGAAAAGAGACACAAACAAAAATACTTTGTCTGATAAAAGGCTCACATGCATAGCAGTAAATTCAGTTTACCTTTTCTCTACAATAGCAAAGCAAAGATGTACTATGCAAGCATGAGTGATGCAAACAATGCGAGATATTACAAACAAATAATAAAATGACTTCTTACTGAAATACCACCTTTTTTTTCTTTTTTACATCCATGAAATATCGAGGAAACAGCATTATGACAATACATTTACATACTACATAGTAAAGGGTCTTATTTGCAGTTATTACTGAGTAAGTTCTACAGCATTGAAGACCTCAATCTTCCGAACAAGGTGTAGTATTTCTTGACAACTGAGCAGTAAGGCACTGATCATAAACATTTGATATTTGTATATTTTAAGCACATGTTCTGACATGGAGATCTTTTTAACTGATGCATACTAATATATTCATTTATTGAATCACATGTTCTGTCTCCAGAGGCAACTTACATCACTTCTATTTTTGGCATTAGATTTTGCTAGAACGATATCCATGGCATCTGGGATACTTGTGAACTTAATAGTATCTGGGTGCTGCCGGTACTTCTTTTCACTCAGTATTTCAGAAGCTTTCTTGTTCTTTTCAGATTCCAGAGATCCCAAAGGACTCCATCCAAGGCCTCTGAGCCATTGTAGATCTGACTTATACAGATTCTGTTAAGGAAAAAAATCAAACCCATAGTAGATTATTTCCCTCTTCATTTATTAAACCATATTAAAAGATTAACTGGCATTTTAGCTTCAATCTGATCTATACTGACATCAAAAGAAAGTTATTAAAGATACTTTTCAATAAGCAGTAAATATCTTCCAAAAAATAAATTAATTAAATCCAGAGGAAGCTTACATCACTCTGTAGTTCGTAGACCCTCTTTGCCTGGGTGACATCATTCTGGTCTGGCAGACAAGTCCACACGACTCCCAGCATGTCCACTGGGCTACTGAAGTGGGTCTTTGTCTTCTCAAAGGCCTTCTTGTACTCCCTGTCACTCTGGATCTTGGCTACGTGCATCGACCACACCATCTTCGGATCATCCTCTATGTTACGCGCCCCTATGTGGTGCCCAAGCTGCTTGCGGTACGCAGTTTTGTATTGGTACTAATTGAATGCAGAAACATCAATTATCACCTCTTTTCAAGCAAGAATTTTAATTACTCTGTTAATATAGTGGTTAAAACTTTTGTATGTAATGGAGTTTAATTTTTTTTTGCGTATTTTTCCAACATTTTTGGTGTTTATATTGCATGTCCAAAGATACTTGCTAATGTTTCCATAGTTATATACTACCTCACTTTAAATTATTGTATTTGACTGAAATAACTTTACACCATGAAGAATTATACAACCTGTGGGGAGGGCAGCAATATAAGACTGTTAAAATTTTAGACCTCTCCTCCTTTTAAATAAAAACCATCTTTATCCAAAAGCGTGTACCAGCTCTTTGCCCCACTATTATTTTCATTCTGTAAGACTTACTTCACTAGCTATGTCTCTGGATGCCTTTGCTGACTTGAGGGGTATAGCATCAGGAGGAAGATCGTAGCCTTTCCTCTTCAGCTCTTCATATCCTAACTTGTAATGTTTCTGTTAGAGAAGGATTCAAAGTAATTATTGCAAATAAAGCTCTCTAGTGAGTTTTTCAATACTACAACTTTCCTCCCCTGATTGTTGAAAATAAAGTATGAGATTCCACTTTCGAGATCAAAATTTTCTTTTACTTAACACATTAATCTGAATGATTCATAGAGTCTTCTACAGAGGGGAATAGTACAACCCCATGATTCTATACACCCAATTTCAATTGCAATTATTTTTATCTTCTTCAGTTCTTATGATAGAGCTGCTAACGTTTCTTTACCTTTGCATATTTGTTCTATATTTGTTCCATTGCAAGCAGGAATTGGTGTAAATTACATAATCCTTTCTAATTCTAAGAAGGCAATTCAATATAATCAGATATTTTAACAAGAATGACAGGCTTACTAAAAGGTACTGAACACCTATTTACAATGTTAATATGATCAGTAGGGATGAAAAAGAAAACCGCTAACTTGTGTTGAATATTTTCTTAGTATTTTTTATATTCTAGCATCTCCGCTTCCACTTTGTATTTTAGCAATTCCACTTGGGCTTCCCAGTGCATAGCAATTTTCACAGGAAATTGTGTGTGCTTACAGTTGTTAGAATTGCAGAATTATTCTACTGCACTTTAAACTAAAGCCACAATGGGCAATTCTAAATTCCATAAAAGAAACATTGTAGAGACAGACTTACATCACTTGTGTTAATTAAGTTTGATTTAGCCAGCAAAATTTCAGGAGTATCAGGCATGATGTGAACCTGAGTCTTGTCCTTGTCCCAAGCTTCTCTATACAGTATCTGAAAAGAGACACAAACAAAAATACTTTGTCTGATAAAAGGCTCACATGCATAGCAGTAAATTCAGTTTACCTTTTCTCTACAATAGCAAAGCAAAGATGTACTATGCAAGCATGAGTGATGCAAACAATGCGAGATATTACAAACAAATAATAAAATGACTTCTTACTGAAATACCACCTTTTTTTTCTTTTTTACATCCATGAAATATCGAGGAAACAGCATTATGACAATACATTTACATACTACATAGTAAAGGGTCTTATTTGCAGTTATTACTGAGTAAGTTCTACAGCATTGAAGACCTCAATCTTCCGAACAAGGTGTAGTATTTCTTGACAACTGAGCAGTAAGGCACTGATCATAAACATTTGATATTTGTATATTTTAAGCACATGTTCTGACATGGAGATCTTTTTAACTGATGCATACTAATATATTCATTTATTGAATCACATGTTCTGTCTCCAGAGGCAACTTACATCACTTCTATTTTTGGCATTAGATTTTGCTAGAACGATATCCATGGCATCTGGGATACTTGTGAACTTAATAGTATCTGGGTGCTGCCGGTACTTCTTTTCACTCAGTATTTCAGAAGCTTTCTTGTTCTTTTCAGATTCCAGAGATCCCAAAGGACTCCATCCAAGGCCTCTGAGCCATTGTAGATCTGACTTATACAGATTCTGTTAAGGAAAAAAATCAAACCCATAGTAGATTATTTCCCTCTTCATTTATTAAACCATATTAAAAGATTAACTGGCATTTTAGCTTCAATCTGATCTATACTGACATCAAAAGAAAGTTATTAAAGATACTTTTCAATAAGCAGTAAATATCTTCCAAAAAATAAATTAATTAAATCCAGAGGAAGCTTACATCACTCTGTAGTTCGTAGACCCTCTTTGCCTGGGTGACATCATTCTGGTCTGGCAGACAAGTCCAGCGGTGTAGCATGTGCTTGTAGTCTATATCACTAACCAGTTCCTGACATTTCTTAGCCAGAAGGAAGCCTAACATATCCACAGGCATATTAAACTTTGTCTTCCACTTTTCAAAATCTTTCTTGTACTCCCTCTCACTCTGCATCTTAGCTACTTGCATAGACCACATCATCTTAGGATCATCTTGTAAGCTGCGGAATCCAATGTGATGTCCCTGCTGCTTGCGGTAACCTTCTTTGTACTTGTACTGAAATTATAAAGGTTGCATTATTGAAATTGCAGTGAGAAACAGACAATGGTAAAATATATGAGCGAAATATCAATATATTCACTCCGTTCAATGTTTCTCGTTACCAATGAAGTGAGCAACTTGTTATGGCACCTCATGTTAAGGTTTAGTAGCCCCTTGATTAATGGGCATCACTTGGTGTCAGTGAAGGCTCTCCCTGGGAATGAACAGAGTCCCTGGAGAGGAAGAGTGCATGGCTACAAGAGTGGTCTCCTGTGCCATCTGAGTCATACAGTCATACTGTTCAGAACTCCCAAAGGCTGACACAGCCAAATATTTTGACGAATAAAATAATCAGCAGTGAAAAATGCAGATGCTTAAGCATTGGAAACATTTCCTAATGGTTAATAAAATCTCTTCCATAAATGTGGAGCTGTATCCATACCAAGTGATGATAACAGCAATACATGTGTCACCACGTCTATTTCAGAGTTGTAAAGAGGGTTTCTCAGTATAGGCACTGGGATCAGCTAATTGGACCAAATTTGCTGCTGCTCTGAAAATGTAACATCCAAAAGAGCAGACAACTCCTAACTTTGTATGACTAGCCACTTCACGGATGGACCACAATCTTTGGAATTGTCAAGATGCCAGAGCAACCCTTCTTAAATTGTTTTCTTCACTGACAAGAACAGATCAGGAAAGAGTTTTGTCAGCAATTGTGCTTTTTACTCCAAGCCACACGTTAGCAGAAAGGTGTATCTGGATCTAGTGTGACTCTGTAGGTTACAGCAGCTAGATAAAGTGCATGTCATATTGAATTAGAAATGTTGCTTACATCACTTGCAATGTCCCTTGAAGCTTTGGCAGCTTTCACTGAAATGGCTTCAGGTGTGAGGTCATAGCCTTTCTTTATCATTTCCTCCCAGCCAAGCTTGTATAGTTTCTAAAATTGAAAACAATATTAATTGAAAAGTCTTAGTAATACATATGTCACCCTCTATTTAGATATGCTAATGATCCATGTTATCACGTTCTGGTCACCTCACAGGCTTCAGTTATGAGAGAAGGGCTACTAGAATGGGAACTGAGAAATAGGAAACTGATAAGCAAGGAACGCAGGTCTTCCAAGTCTTAGGCTAGTGATTAAATAGTTTTTCTTTACTGCAGCAGCTTCCTACTATAGCTTATCTTGGTGATTTGAAACATATCTGGGGAATTTGAAATATATACAACTGGGATAACTGAAAACTTCTCAATTGGCTTAACAAAAGTTTAATTAATAAGGCTGTAATATAGCCAGTTTGTGCACAGTTGATTTTAAGTACTGCACTTGCAAGTCAAAGATTTGCTGCTGAGCAATCATGCAAAGCAAAACCTAAGTATTTTATACTGGCATAATTGTCACTTTCTCATATTTGAAAGCTGACAGAAAAGTTACAATCACTGCATGTATTTCTTTTCCCATATGCTAAGTTATATATATGTTATATATATGAGTTATAAACCCAATGAACTTGTAATTTTATAGGAAGAAATTTTTAACATGATTGATTTCTATGGCAAGCACAGAGTATGGACTATGCATACCTAGATTTCAAAAAGAGGACTTAAATTTTCCATACATTATAATGTAATTTAGGCTGTTACTTTGCTAGCCTGAAGATGGTACTTATTGCTACTCTGAAAATATTACTCACATAAAAATGCTTCCCTCTGTTCTAAATCCCCCATTCCGTTTCTTCTAACTTATACAAATTAATTACTTATTTTGAAATGGGAGGCACCTTTAAATTTGAAGAAAGTAGATATTAGTTCAAAATGTAATTGGAAGTATTAAAAAACTCTACCTGACTGTAGTTTGCCTTGTTCTGTTTTGCCTGTAGAATATCTGGTGTATCTGGCATCACATGAACCTGAGTTTTATCCTTCTCCCAAGCTTGAGTATAAGCATGCTATTGAAAAAAGTAACATCAGATATGTTAATATAAATGACAAAGGATGGCTTTCACATCTCCATTTGCACACTTTGGATACGGATGGGTAAAAAGATGAGGGTGCTGACTTAGATTTATTTTACTATGTAATGACCTAATCCAGGATCCGGTGAATTAGGATCCAGACTTGCTTCTAGTGCAGTCCAACTATCAAGATTTTCAAGGCCAGTAATTTCTATACAAGAATGAGAAGAATAGCGGTTGGAGAGGTAGCAATGAGAAAAATGAGAAAAGATTTATTTAACCAATGCTATTTATCAGCAACTTGAGTGTTTCATTAAGAAAAAAATTGAAAAAAGAGGAACCTGTAGGTGACAGTTGTTTTTCCCAGGGAAACACTGCTACATAAAGGTGGTGACAGACTTACAGAGTGCTTATGGAAATGGATTATATGTGAGTGTCTGCCTAATTTTCCCCATAAATACTCACTTTGTTCATTATATTTGCATTCTGCTTTGCAAGGACCATGTCCATGGCATCATTCTGTTTTGTAAAGGGGAACATGCTGGGGTGCTGGCGGTATTTCCGATCACTTGCAATTTCTGTGGCTTTCTTAGATTTCTCCACATCCAGAGAACCAGCAGGACTCCAACCGATACCCTTGAACCACTCGTTGTAATCCTGCTTGTACTCATTCTGCCAAACAGAACACAAAAGGAAAGTTTACAGTTTACAAATGGCTCAGACAAAATAATTCTCTTGTTTCCAAAACACAGCCATAATGAAAAAACAGGGAAAAATGTCACAGCTGCGAATGACAGAAGGAAAACAGAAACTTACGTCACTTTGTATCTGATTCATGTTCCTGTACAGTTCTAAACTCATTGCATCTGGTAGAAGCATATACTGGTGGATCAGTCGCTTGTAGTTAGTATTGGTCACACGATCTTGTGCCTCCTTAGCTGCCACGATGCTGAGCGTATCGGCAGGCGTTTGGTAATGTGTCTTGCTCGTCTCATAAGCTTTCTTGTATTCACGATCAGACTGCATCTTAGCCACTTGCATATAATGGACAAGTTTGGGATCATCCTGAAGGCTGCGGAAGCCTACAAGTTTTCCCTTGTCTTGTTCATAACCTAATTTGTATTTATACTGTAAAGAGAACAGGGACTTTAATTCTGCTGCATTTGTTCAATATGCAATATCTATCTTGTAAGGAAAAAAAACCCCAAACTTAGATTAAAACAAGATTTTTACATTGTTAAGAAAACATCACAAAGAATTTAGAAGTGGTGGCTCTGTCCACCTACTCTTAGGGTGCACTCTAAAGCAAAACAGATGTCTAGTGTCCCTTTTAAAAGCAGTATATTTAAAACACTTTCTTAATAAATGAAATTTCCTTACAATAGTTTATTCTGCTCCTGCGTAAGGTTCAGTGTAACCTGGCATTCAATTGTTTTCTAATCTCATTATAAATGACACAATGAAAATATGAAACAAGCTGACAGAAAGCAAAAGGCAAAGAAACACTTAAGATTTGGTTTGCTGAAGGCAGTTCTTTGGAAAAAGTGCACTTTTTATTCTTTTCCCACTGTAGTTTAGAGATACCCATATTAGCTCAAAGATGAACTGCCACAAACAGTAGAACCAGGGCACATTAACCCACATAGTTCTCTGTTACTTTGATATCCTGCTTCCAATATTTGGTTTAGGTCACTATTTTTGTAGTAGTCTGCACCAGACTCAGAATACTTGAGTTCATACTTAAAGACTAAGAACCAAGAACTAAAAACCAAAGATCTAATCATCAGTTCAATTAGGGTCACTTGTTCAAATGATTAAAAAATTCAAGAAACTTCCCAAGACCTTTTGCATTTGTTTCTTTAATAAAATCAACAGTTCAAATTCTTAATCTCCTTCCTCAACCCTGGACAATGAACTACACAGACCAAGTATCAATTCCTTTTTCCTTCACTGCTTACTGCTTGGAGAGAACTCAGAATGGAAGTATCTTCCCCTCAGACTTAGAGCAGTGGCAGAGCAAATTGACTTTGCAGTGCCTGAAACATCCCCTTTGTTGTCAAAAAAAATGGTGGGCTAAATAACGTGTCCTTAGGCCCTAACTTCACTCCTCTCTCAAGCTGGATTTGCCCCTGCCACAGCAAATCCCTCATCACTGATATGCAAAGGATTTCAGAATGGTCCTGATTCCAGAAGCTTGTATTCTCTGCACCAAGAAATTGAATAGGACTTTCACCGAAGGAATAAAGATAACTGTACCACAGTAGTAAAAATAATTTAAGTCCACATCTGTTCTTCTCAAATATTTCTAAGAATGACCTCTGAACGTTCTGTCTAAACTACAAATATACAATGTACATTTATAAAGTATCCAAGCACCATCACACTGAGGAAGGAACTGCCTTAGTTTTTTTTCTAAGAGTCCCTCATATATCTCGTTACCTTCCTAATAAAGAAACTGTTCCTTAACCCTGTTAGAAATGTATTAGAACATGTATCAAATATGTCAGGATTATTCACAAGCAAGAGAACAAAGAGACTTCATGTAATTGGCAGATAAAATTGAATTGTGTCAAGAAATGAATGTTTTACAGTATCTGAAATGGATCATTTTTTTCTTTCAGGAACTTACATCACTAGCAATATCCCTAGAAGCTTTGGCAGCTTTAATAGGGATAGCATCAGCTCTGAGATCATACCCTTTCTTCCTAGATTCTTCAAATGAAAGTCTGTACATTTTCTGTGAAAAGAAAGGAAAGAAATATCCTTTAAAAAAGCAAAACACACCATACTTAAATAAAACTCTGTTATTTTTATATGATAACTTAAAACACAGATTATTCATATGTTTAACACTCCTTGAACAGTTGTTTAAGGCACTCAGGCACACAGAGAGATGAATACTCCTTCAAAATTAACTCCAATCTTAGTATTCATACATCAACGCAGCTGGACTGCACTATAATTAGTAACAATAACCTATAACAAAAAGCAAGAAATTGCATTTGTTTCCCACATGCACAAATATTGGTGAAAAGTTACATCTATAAGATTGTCAATTTAAAAAAAAATGAGATAAATACGTCTATTTTGGTGCACATTAAAGATGTGCACGATTACAAACAATACTTTATTTAGCATATGCAGATTTAACAACTGGCTACTGAAAAGCTGTCTATAATATCATCTGTTACTGAAAGAATAGGTTCAATCTGCAAGAAAGAATTTTGAATCCGCTACAGAAGTTTGTGCGTGGGGAAATAAAATAATAAATACAGTAACAAACACGGATAGTACTCAAACTCTACTATTTTGTTAGTAACTTATATTTTAATGACCTACATGAACACTTCATAATCTGACTATAAATACTATGGCTTTTTCTTGGCATCTTTTGGTATGTAATTTTGGGGAAGGAAGCAGAGAAAAGGAAAATTAACAGCTTTTTGTGAAATTACTACAGGTTAGCAAAGTGAGAATTAGGGAGATTTCTGTATGCTGTCATCTGACTTATTCCTAATAAAAAAAATAAGAGCAATGTCATAGCCTTACAAACAGTACTCACATCACTTAAATTAAATGCATTAACTTTTGCTAAAGCAATCTGTGGAATATCTGGTGTGATGTGAACTTTCTTTTTGTCTTCTTCCCATGCTTGTTTGTACTTGTGCTGGAGGGATAAAAAAAAAAAGATTTCTTTACAACGATGCAACTACTAACACGGTAGGAACATTTGTCTTTTTATTTTAGCACTTAAAAGCAGTGTTAATCAGGAATAGCTCTTATGAAGTTAATTGTGTGAGGCCAAAATAAGAGTGGGAGAAATATCAATCTTGCTAGAGTATTTTACTGCTTGTCCCTTGCCCAGAAGTGTATTCAAGCATATCGAACAGCAGAAAATAGGTTTCAAAATGTACTAGGTCTGGCTGGGATGGAGTCAATCCTCTTCATAGCATCTCAAACAGTGCTGTGTTTTAGATTTGTGACTAAAACAATGCTGATAACACACTAATGTTTTAGCTGTTGCTGCACAGTATCAAGGCCTTCTCTCTTTCTCACTCTGCCCCAGCAGTGAATAGACTGGGTGGTGTGCAAGAGGTTGGGAGGGGACACAAGCAGGCAGATGAACGCAGCTAACCAAAGAGGTATTCCCCACCGCATAACGTCATGCTCTGCAAATGAAAAGGGAGAGGAGGGGGTTTAGGGAGGTTAGACATCTGGTGCTTGGGAACTGGCTGGGCATCAGCCTACCCATGGGAGGTGGCGAGTGGTTGCTTTTGCATCACTTGTTTTGTTTTCTTTCTCTCTTCTTCCACTTCTCCTTTGCTTATTAAACATTTTTTATCTGGACCCACAACTTTTCTTGCTTTTACTCTGCCTTTCCTCTTCCCCCATCCCACTGGGGAGGAGGGGAGGAAGTGAGCGAGTGGCTGTGTGGTGCTTAGCTGCCTACCGGGGTTAACCCACAACTAAAAGCCAAGTCAGAAGGTAGACAAAAAAAATTGGTAGAGGTGGAAGATTATTAGTTTATCTCCTGCAAAATAAGTATCAGCTGAGAGAGGTAATAGAGCTTTACTTAGGGGAAATAGAGATAAGGAAAGCACACATAAGATTCTGATGGTCCCTGTAACTACAATGCACATCAACTCTAGACATTTCTAAAGAACACTAGTGGATTACATCAATTCAG